CCCCAGGTTTTGCTTGAACGTGCCTGAAATCGGCTGTAATAGAAAGTTTTAATAATAGATCAGATAATAAGGACGTTGTGGACTGATAGCCTGATAGAGAATGCCTTCTATCAAGATAGGATTGTCAAGGTCGTCGTTTATCGCCGTGTGACAGAAGCATGTCTAGCGCGAATAAACTTTCGTGTTGTCGTTCTCGCGCGTCATGTCCACAAATCATTGCCTGTAGCTGTACGCGTGCGGTGCAGCGGCTAATCCAGTGGAAATCGATTGCGGGCCGAGGAAGCGAGAAGACGAGGAGACGAGGGCAAGTGCGATAAGAAATAAGGATCGTTACGAGAGTCGCAATTGGTTCATTGACTCCTACAACGACCGAAACTGCCTCTATCGTGCCTCCACTGTGCTTCATAGTGCCCATAAGCAGCATCAGCTTACGTTGTCCGTCTGTCCATTCATATGGCGTCGGCCAGGATCGGTTTGCGAGGCAGAAAAGGCATATTCGGCGTGCTGCTGGTCGCCGTTTTGCTGCTGCTTCTCTACTATAGGTTGCAGCTTGTGGACAGTGGCAGTGCGTCGTCCAAAGCTAAAGTTCTTGAAGGTGGAGAAACGGTGAAGCTGGTGGCGAAGGTGATCGTCGAAGTCTACTTTTCCAGCTTATGCCCGGATTCTACGTTGTTTTTCGCCGAGCAATTGGTGCCATTTTGGAGAACACGCTTTCACAACTTCGTGCAGTTGGTGCTCGTTCCGTACGGCAAGGCGTCGTTCGCAACCGATCGCCAGGGCAAAACGACCTTCCTGTGCCAACACGGCCCGGACGAGTGCTACTTGAACAAGGCGATGACTTGCGCCATCGAACTGCTGCAACCAGATGTCACCGACACCCTGAAGATCATTTCGTGTCTGCAGGGCAGTGAGCCGAAGAACGTTCTTAAGTGCACTGCCAATACAAAGCTGACCACTGCTCAGATGCAAAAGTGCATCGATGGTCAAACGGGTGACGACATGCTCAAAAGAATGGGCAAGAAAACAGATTCCGTCGGAAAGAAACTCTTATACATACCGACCATATACATCAACGGTAGGGCAAACAAAAACGCAGAGTTTCATTTGCATGCCGAGCTGTGCAAAGTGCTGCCTGTGAGGGAGAGAAAGTTGTGCCTCGAACACAAAGTTTAGCTGATGATGCACAGACAACGCACCGATTCGTGGGTTGACCGCACCTGCGCTGTTTTTCATCGCTGTTCACAGGTCCCTGTCGTTCAAGTAGATACGTACTTGATGAAAAATTTTTCGTTAAAGTTAAATTTCTTTGTTTGAACTTTGTTATTGCAACGGCAACTATAAATAAAACTGAATCTGTCCATGCTGATTATCTTTGTCATTCGCATTTTACATGAAGGCTCAGTGCCAAAACTGAAAACTGTCTCTTACAATGTCACCAAACGAAGAGACAGTGCCAGATAGCCCAAACAGCCATATGCGATAAACCGTGTATATGACACTTAACAATTCAAAATGACAGATGACTTCGTGTCACAAACGAATACAAAGCCTAGTCGATGGAATGAACGTACCGTTGCCATCAGCTGCTCAGATTGTGAATAAAATACGAAAGAAGTATATTTAAAACTTTAGCCGCTTTTCTAGGTTTACTAGCCAACTGCTAGTTATCAATATCGTCGGTAAGAATACCAAACTCCAGTCAATTCCCCGAATTTATGCAGCGTAGTCTCCGTCCTCTTGCTTTTAGTTACCTAGAGGATCGCCTAAGCAGGCCGTGGCTCCATCACGATCTAGCCATCTCTCAGTGAGAGGATGCAAAAATACTAGGTATCGCTCTACCTACAACATGTTCGAACACAGACTGACGACTCCACTGCCTTTCTGCAATCGGTTCCGCTTGATCATTAGTTGTCAACTAGTCATTTACTATCAAACTAAAGTAAACGACATTGATAATTACTGTACTAATTCTTATTCGAGACGATTGAGTATCTTCTTGTCTCCCATGATGAGCCGGGCGGTCATTTCTATGGAGCAGGTGTAGGAGAAAAGCCTGCTGTTTCACGTTAATGTCACCCATACCTAAATAGAATCATAGTTCAAGATATCCTTATAGATTTCATGCTAAGGTGGAGTACGCAGCCGATATAGTCCCGATGAGCATTCGAGGAGCGGGCTATAACCGCCTCCATATACAACACAGCAGCGTAAGCCTGCCACTTCCTTAATGCGCGTAAATCAAAATCTATGAACTACAGGTGGAACGCAGAGTTGAAACGATGCAGGAAGTTGACCAGTTCAATTGTCTCGGCTTCATCATCTTTAGCAAGAACATTATCCAACCAGAGTGAAATAAGAGAATCGACCTACCTTTGAGTGCTTTTGAAAACTTGTTCAATATGGAGACTGAGGAATGCAGTACTATTCTAACGAAAATTCGCCTGTCTTGCCTCAATCAAGTCGTGTTGCTATATGACATAGTTCTAGGACGGTAACCTCCCGGACAAAAGCCCCTCATGAACAGTAACCCCCAGATAAACTCCCCAGTGGAAAAAAACCTTTCGAAGAATACCGGTCTCTCATTCATTATCAAAAGAGATCTTGCTGAAGTGCCGATGAGAGCCTAATATCTCAGAAGCATTGTAACCCATGATGGAATTTGTAAAATCGAATAAAGGAAAAGAGGTGGTTTAAGAAACTTATGTTTATGTCAAGCAGAAAAATATGGCAAATGGAGTTGTATCGGTCGAGTGTGAAAGAAGATGCAACAAGGCCGAATGTAAAACCAAAATTAAAGTTCGAGGAGAGGAGCTTGCAGAACGGTTAAGTAAGCGTTCTCATGGTCAAGATCCTGCTCAGAAATTAATAATCGCAAGTGTTTTGGGGGTTTAATCCGGGGTAGCGGGGATTTTGCCCGGGAGGGTTGTCCGGTTACCACGTGACGTAGGTACAGTTGTTGTAACGAAAGAGCAAGAAAAGTTGAACTTCGAGCAGCAGCACTGGCTTCAGTGCATACTGATGATTAAATGACAAGACCATAAAACCAGCGGCTCTACTGTCTTCCGGGCACAGGAGACCTCAGTAGATTAAGGAAATTAAGCAAAAGTTGGCCCTCTCAGACAAACTGGTTTAACACAAACCATTTAATCCAACCCATGAGCTTCTCATGTAGAAACCGAAATTCGGGATGTCGACCAGGAGGTCGACATGCACCATGGTGAAACAAGTTACACACTGATCTGCTTTCGGAAAGGAATGTTTCCTTCCGCAATGCAGCATCAAGTTCCTTATAAAGTGTAGAAAAGCTGCGATTACGGCGGACATCACAAATCAGAGACGTTTTGTGTACGCAAACGACTCAAGTTGATGATCTCAACAATGAAACAACATACAAGAAATGATTGGTCATGTGTAGGGTATCAGTAAACCTTCATGACGTGCACTATCAGCGAATATGAATTCTAGGCAAAGAAGCAGAGTATAGTACGACGCCATTTTTACTGATCTAACACAGCCCTCATGGTGAGAATGACGGCTATTGGCTGTTTGTGTCTAACTGATAACGGAATCTTTCCAATGTTCACTACGTACATCCTTGGCACTGAGCTGCTTCTGGGTGACAACTTGAATATTTATACTTCGCCTGCCAATACAGTAAAAGAGGTAATGGAATACCATAGCATCACTATCATTCGCTAACTCTCCCTTCTAACACCTTGATGGCGCCCAGAATGGTTTTGTCCGCAAACAGCCATCACTGCAAGTTCTTATTGTAATTCAAATTCGTTTAAATTATACCCCACCGGAAAAATATTTTTTTATATCTCTAGCATCGCAACACAAATGCTGCTTACTTAAGATTCGAATAGCCGTTCAGTCGACGGTTTATCATTAAAATGTTGAGGCATTTAGATAACTGACTAAGGTTATACCCTTACCAAGAACCTTTAATACAAACTTTAGATAAAAAAAGCTCCGATGTTCACAGGGTGCTTTCGATACCGCCGTTGAAAATATTATGCTAAAAATAATGACGCGGGGTTGAAAGAGCGAAAGTGCAAAATATAACATCGGTGAAGTTACGAAATCTATTGAGATGAACAAGCCTTCCAAATTTTCGTACGCAGTCCATTTCGGCCATTTACGCTCGCAGTCTTATTTCGGCCATTATCCTGATTCCTAACCACAGATGAGCACAGAAACGAGAACAGACTACAACAGAGCTTCATCTTCAGATTTCGTGTTCTGCATCAGCTAAGACAATTTTGGTTAAGGAGGACTTCCTTAACCGTCAATTCATTTAAATCTTCTCTCACTCTTAAATACGATGCCAAAGTACATTAACTTTGTTTCAGCAGTATCCCACTGCCCTCTGAACATCGATGAAACTCGATCCAAAACATCGGGTTTACGTTAAACAAAATTTGTAGGTTGACTAATCTCTTTCGGAAAACTGTAGAAAGTAGTAAACTCTTAGACTCTATGAAGGCCTTGGCGATGAACTTTGAACATAGACAGAATTCAACCAGTCTCTGAAATTGACAGGCACCAAGAAAAAATAAAGCTGATCACGAAGTAAATCTGGCACATACCGGCTAAGGTAAGTAGGGTATACAATTAGTATAAGATATGGCAAGATATTTTATGGAATATCTGAGTCACAGAAGATTAATTTACCGGTTACCGCCTCCAACAGATTGATTAATTTTGTTTCTTTTCTTGTCATTGCCTAATTATTATGCCATGATAACGACAGATCAAAATATTAGCTCGCTAAGGAAAAGATTTACTTATCCCTTAACCAGAGGATCGAAAGGGTCAACCATTTTCAATGGTGATATCTTCCAAACATACTATCTGCAAAATCTTCAGAAAAGATAGACTCTTTATTTAGGCTGTACTTTTCGGACAAGTGAAGGATACTGTACAAGTGTCAGTGAAAAACTGCCAACAATTAATAGTCTCTGAAGTAGAAAGAATGTCATCGAGCCCTAGGAGCCAATACTGCCTTACCAAATACATAAAAAGTTGGTTCAAACAGCGTGGTGAAAGTAGCAGCAATAACATAAAAATACGACAAACGGATACAATGCAATAGTTTTACTGTATAGTATTTATAACCGCATTCTATTAGATGCAGAGACATTCACTTACAA